TCAATTTGTCCTTTCAGAGTTACTGTACTTTAATTTGCCCTGCGATTTACACTTCCCCTGCAAGCTGCAGTTTAACAGATTTTATGAAGATGCAACTAGAAGAAAAATATTGTAGTGGGTTTGTAGTGGAGGTCTTGAGCCACAGAGCTTTAATCCCGTTTGTTATATACATTAAACTTCACAGTTTCTGTACCACTTCGGAGCATTGCTATGACATTTTAAATAAGTGTTCCTTTATGGTAAATACTTAGTCAAGCTAGTGATTTTTCAGTTTTTATTTAATCACTATCACTGTCACTGCAGAGCCTGAAATACATGATAAGAAACAAGTAAAAATAATGATAACAGTGTCTATCAATAGAGTGCTGAACCCAGTCCTTTTGCTCATGTGCAAACAGCTTGTGGAGTGAAGCAAAAAAAAATTACTGCATGCCCTGCTCCTAGCAGTGTTCAAGGCCAGGTTGGATGGAGCTTTGAGCAGCCTGGTCTAGTGGAAGGTGTCCCTTCCCACTGCAGGGGGAGTTGGAACTAGATGATCTTTAAAGTCCCTTTCAACCCAAACCATTCTGTGATTTGATGATTCTATGAAAGATATCTTTATCTTGATATACACTGTCTCTACAAGCCTGCACTGAATTACCTGTTGCTTTCATAGCTTGACAACCATTTGGTATGACCACTTACACAAGCTCCTGCTGATTCTTAGGCTTGCCGACAAGATCCCCTCTTCTGGATGCAAGAGACTGTCCTGTTTAACACATCTTTACACCAGTCTTTGCCATTGTACAAGCACTAAGTGTGCTTAATTCTACATGTGCTAGCATCCAATCTGGGGACCCAGAGATACCAGGGTAACATTCATTCACCTGCATGGATCCTAACTTGGCACATGGAAAGGGCTGTGTGTATAACAAGGACTGCAATCTAGATTTCACTGTATCTTTCACTATTAGTCAGACACCTCTTTCTCTCCCTATTTGTAGGAGCTGTACACAGCAAACTTGTTTTCTTCAAAGAAAAATCAAGGAACTTACTTCCCTGTTCCTGCAGCAAACTACCTAGCTAGTCTTGAGCCTCCTCTGCATTTTTGCTTTTGGTGTTTTAGTTTGATCGTTATTGCAGTCTAAATGTTCCCTGAAGATGGAAAACTTTACCTTGAAACTGGCAGAGCTGTTGTCATTACTCCACTGATTGTGCAGAAAAAAATACTCTGGGCTTTGCACAAAACTCAGTTGCTCTTTCAAATGGACATCCTCACTTTTCGGGGTCATTTGCTTTAACTGTATGAAGGAGTAGTCAGGGCGCTAATGAAGGAGATGGAAGAAAGTGGTATGAAATTAATTGAGGCCTAAAGCATAAAGAAAAAAAAAATACATTAGAGATGATTTTCTGGATATGGCTTCTGTTCTGTCCTTCTTCAGCCAGGATTCATTCTCCGGACAGCAGCCCAGCAGCCATTGATCCAGATTACCTGCTCCAATGATGGTCCCCCAGACGTGGTGCCCAGTGCCCTCAGGTCAGCTTGCAGAAGATGGTTAAACTCTGTGAGAATATGAGCATTTTTTGCTATGATCCAAGGATCCTCACAGACTGGGTAAAGTCAGTCTCCTCTCCCGCAATAGCAATGGATTCTGAAATTGCTCAAAGCAGGAAAGGATCAAAACTATTAATCTAGGCTACCTCAGGAAGAAGGTGACTAGATTGAGAAGATACCAGTCCCTCTTGAATTTTTAGAACAGATTGGATGTATTAGAATATTTGTAGGACATGGGACATTTTTACAGACAATGTATACTGAAAGTGCTCTCTTTTGCTGAAGCTTAAAGAAAATGAGGGTAGGGACTTAAAACCCCAACACTGAAATGTCAAAGCAAGTAGATGAAATCCTAAAATTAGAAAGGAAAGAACAAGCAGTATGAGTTTCTTTGAATCTGGTCAAAGCTGTAGGATGCTTTACTGTTATCTCAATGGAATCAGATATTGCTCGCATAACAATACACAAAAATCATGTTATACATGCACAAAATCTGTTTCACCAGCTAGTACTTTGCAATATTACAAATCACCATTTCCCCTCCAAGACCTTTCCTAAATGGTGAGTAACCTAAAAGAGGACCATAAGGAATTTTACACTAGATGAGGAAATAAAGAGGATTCATGCAAATGTTCATTCCCATGTTAAAAGAAAGGGTGCAGCAGAGATGATACAGTTCATTCAAGCTGAAACTCTCCTTTCGTACTGTGACCTTTCTTGAAGAATTCAATTATTTTTTTTACAGAAATAAATCCAACTGAAAGTGTCATCAGATATCCAGAAGCAGAGCAAACAAAACTCTGGCTTGAAAAGGTCAGAATCTGTCAATCAGTGTTATTATCTAACAAAGCTAGAGCTGCTCCCCCATTCTTTTCTCTCTAATAAACTACTGCAAGACCAGATTAAAGAGCTATGATGAAGGTAGTTGGAAAAGTCTCTTACAAACAACAGCAAAACCCAAAGTTAAGTGTAATCCTGTGGACAACGGCTCCCTCTGTGCAAAGACACTCCCTGACACAGGACAGGAACAGTGTGCCACAGTGAAAGGTGCCAGCAGTGGGAGGAAACACATAAAACAAATTAGCCCTCTCCCCTTTCCACCAGTAAATCCATCTGGTAACAGCTGTTACCTATCCAGTTCATACAATCTCTTCTCCAAAATCTTTGATGTCCAGAAGACTGGAAAATCTAATCGTTTCTTGGGAACGAGGATAACAAAAATATTGAAAAAGTAATAAAAACACAAGCAATTCTCTTATTGCAATACTTGTTGAGAAAGAAAGTTCTTCAGATCTGGTTAGTTAGCAAACTCTTTTATAAACCAGTTATGAATGGAGGAAATTTGCTATTCATGGCTATGGAAATCAAATTTAAAAAAGGACATGCTTCATTCAGCAATTTTGAGAACAATGATATATTTTCATTTGCTTTGCTAAGGAAAACTACAAAATTCGAGCATTGAGGCTTCCTCTGGAAGCCATTAGTTTACAGGCAGGGCAGAGTTTAGCTCATTAGCCCAAGGACTTGATTATCCATTACATCAACCCTAATGGAATCGTGCTTGTGCAATGAAGATGGTAATGAACAAAATAAGTAAGTTGTGATATATCTAGTTCTACTGTATGACCAAACTGGCCAGATGCACGATAGGCTGAGAGGTCTGTGGTAAGGCACCAAATGTGGAGTAGCCTGACTCCTACCTGCCATGCCAGGGCTTCCGAGATGGAGTGGTGTCATCCCTGGAGAGGCACACCAAGCACAACCCTATGCTAGGAATGATATAACTGTTCTCTTTGATGCTGATGAAAGGACTTGAGATCTGTTACCCATGACATACGCCCCACAGTAGTTAAATGAGGAATGAGTCCTCTTCTGTCCCTTTTGCCCCAGACAAAAAGTTGCAGCATTATGCAAACATGCCCACTTGGGGCACATCAGCAGGTTGCGGTGCGTTGCCACTGCTCCCACTGGGCCTATTGTGCTGCCCAACGCTGGGCTCAGGCAAGGCTTGGCCAGCAGCACGGGAAACAAACAGCAGCTCCTTCTGGAAAACAGGGAGGGGGCCAGTCTCCAGGCACCTGTTGAAATAAGATTATAAGATTTAGGTTGAGAATGCCAATACACTCTTCCTGCACGGATCCTGCAGGCACAGCTGCAGCACCTAACAGAGATTGCAAAACTTGCACAGAGTTTCGCACTGGCTCCTGTGAAATCAGAATACCACTCATACCAAAGCAGATATGCAAAGCGAGAGAATATGAATTTTAAATATGAATTTTAAAGCTCTCCCTCTAGCACAATCCCATTAACCTACAGCTCCTGTATACACAAATCTCCCACCGGGCACCTCGGTTACACATCAGATAATACCCTCAGAGACTTATTTTTTTCTTTCTATTTGGAGATTATTTATTACAAGCTCTCATGAGCTTATTTGTGTTTTTAATCACTACAAAATGTCTCTCTGTTTTTGAGGAGGAGAAAGGTAGAAGGGAGCAGGGGGAAAGCCAATGTATTTTAAATTTTAGGGGAAAGAGCCCCTTCAAAGTATAAAATCTTTCAAAGACAGACTTACATGATTTGTGAAACTTGTGTGTGATTGCTCTGTATAACTTGTACCACACTCTGCCTCCTTCACCCTCTGACACATAGCAAGAAAACTGGATTCAAAATGAGATTGCACCATGGTGAATTCATTCCTTGAATTGCATCGTAACTTTCAGCAATACACAGCGTGGGAACACGTCGATTAGCTCTCGCTTTGAAGAAATTGGATTTGCAAAGGTCAGCAGTGGCTCGGCCCATTTCTCAGCAGATCTTTGGCTTGCTTTTCATCCCGGGACAAGCAGGGAGGAGGTCAGAGAGGAATGACAAAAAGAGCGAGCTTTTTGAAGAAAGCCCAAAGAATCTGACTGTGCTCACAGAAATGTGGAGATTTCTTTTGCTCAGAGCTAATAAAAAGGTAGATTTTAAACCAAACTTATGAGAATAACTTTCTGGGTTTACTTAACATATTAAACAATTAATTGTTTTGGTATAAACTAAGAAATGCTTTCCAGTGTAACTTTTGGTCTGGCAAGAGCTGCCTGAAGCTAATCCACAGAAAAGCCTGCTTGCCCTCCTCCATCCCTCCCTCTTTTTGTGCAAAAGGGTGCAGCCAGCCTGGAAAAGACGTAGAAAGAGGTAAAGCTCAGCCCTCGGTGGAAGTGTGAAACCCAGGGAGTTTGTGCTGTGTATTTCTCCTTTGAAACATGTTTCCCAGTTGTTTAGCTTGCTTCTGTGCCAGTGTACTGAGACAGAGGTAGCTTCATTACCCTTTCGAGCTGGAAAATTTGCAAAATATTTTGGCCACTCTCCTCACCTTATTAACATAAACTGGAGTTTCCTCTTGCTGCTGGCAGGGCAGGGTACTGGGAGCGTGTGATCAAGGCATTTCAGCAGCTGTTGCCGAGTTTCACCTTGGGCTGGTGGTGAAGGATTCCTCCTGGATTCTGAACAGGGGTTTGCTGTGGCCACTTACACAGGAAAGCCACAAAAGAGGGAAGGAGGTGGGGAGAAAAAGAAATGAGAGCTGAATAGAAAGGAATCCAAAAATACCAGCAAGCCTGAGTTCCTTCAACTGCAAATATTAAACTTTTCTTGCAGAAATACACTACACACAGAGAGAAACATGTCTCCTAGAAAACTGGGAATAATGGACTTGTTTGCTTCGTTAGTGTATTTTTTTGGCAGGTCCCTTTTGGAAGCCTCACTTTCTACAGCTTTAAAGCTTTGTGAAGGTTTGCAGTGTGGGGAAAGAGTAAGGAGAATAGCTCCAGCTGGTGTCACAGGTCTCCTCAAGCTGTAAAAATTTGCTTTTCCCTAGCTCTTCCAACAAGAAACACTGCAGCATTCTGGCATAAAATATGATTTAGAAAGTATCCAAATCATAGAAGGCCAAATCTCGATGGACTGTATGTTCCTGTTAAGTAGCCAGTACTGATCCAGGTGAATTTTCCTTGTCATTAACTGAGCAAAAGCCGGCCTTTACCCTTACTAATTTATTCAACTGAGAATATTCCTTTCATAGTCTGTCCCAGGAACTCCCAAGAGGCTGCTGCAGAAGGTACCAGCAGGGATACAGAAAATCTTGGGAACCTGCTGGAGGGGAGGCATTTACAGCTTGTGCAAAAGAGATGTAGGACAGAGTATTTAGGCAGATGAAGATGAAAGAGTGGTTATTGTCAAAATGACAGATGAGTGATGTTTCTGTGACCTAACAGGAAGTAACTGGGAAGTAAATGCTGGGTTTGGGCTTTTAGTGGAGCTTGTTCACCTGCTGCTTCATAACTGCATCGAATTTCCACCAACATCTGATCATCACCATTACAGGATGAGTCTATGGATGTCTTGTAACAACTCTGCCAAGGAGATTTGTGCCAGCTCCCCTCACAAATGTTATGTTACCACAGACCCAGGTATATCCTAGAATTTCTTATTACCTCATGTACCAGCAAGTCTTCAGCTGTGCCTTCACTTCCCAGTTACAGAGATGGAAGCAAGTAGAGGATCTGAGTAAGCTGGGGATCTGATCCCCAGCTAAGAGGATCTCTCTTCAGAAACAGCACTTTGTGCTAAATATGAGATCCCATCTAGAGGTTTCATTAGAGCATTCTTGCTAGGAATATAAATTTTAATTTGACAGATTTCTGCAAAATTTGACCTGCAGAAAATCTGACCTGCAGAAAATTCATGGGACATATCTCATCTGCAAATTTTGTATCTGTGTATGTGGAGGTGAACATATACCTTAACATGGAGAACTTTGGCATTAGGGCATATGTCTGGATTATCTGTGCACAGCTGTCATGGTCAGCCATCAAAACCCAGATCTAGCTTCTTGTTTCTATTTAGCATCCTCTTGTCTATCTGTTTTCATTTTAACACTCTTTTATGTGTGATGTTTCTATCAACACTTGCGTCAGCTTCCTTCAGTGGAGAAAGGCATCCTTATCGCACCTTTCACATATGAATAAACTTCATAACTGAAAACACAAAGTGCTGGTTTTAGCTTTCTTTTTTCCATAAACAAACCAAAGAAAGTCAAAGGTTAAACAACTACAGTTGAGTGTACCTTGCTGAGCTTCAATAAAAAAAAGAGAAGATTGGTCTGAACATGTATTTTTTTATTAAAAAAGAATGAACATAAATTACAGCTGCTGACCATGTAGTCATTCTTTTTATGAGGTGTTTCCCTATACCCATATATGATTTCTACTTATAAATTCCCTGTTGGACTGAAAACTCTCATGAAACTGATGCTTTTCTTAATAAATTGTCCACAGAATCAGTATTTCATCTCGAATGTAAAAAGTTTATTAGAGAAAAAAGCATCCCTGTGTCCTGCTGGAAAGCAATGCCAGACACCATTCAAGCTAAAAAAAATAGATCTGCCTGCAGATTGTGTAGCATTCCCCCCCATCTTTCTACTTAAGTATTGTTCATAATTTAATAAAATCCAGTGTAATATAGCATACTATAACGGTGCCTGCAGTAACAACCACTTAGTCCAGAGCAGAAAAAAACGATTCATTGAGGATTTCTGCATGTTAAATTTTGTTTCCTTTAAAATTTCCTTGAAGAAGGGATAGGTTCCTAGATCTGAAAAAGTCTGTCTCTGAGCACAGAAACCCTGAAGTTTTCTGCCCTGAAGGAGCCTTTTTGAAGGAATACCCTCAAACCATGCAATGTGGAAGCTTGGGAACTGCTCCAGGTCTGCTTACTGAGGTCTTCTCACCAGGGAAAATCACTGCAACCAGAATCAGATGTTCCATATGAAGTGCTCAGTTGTAAATCTGAGAAAGCACTAAAAATATGAAATTGTAAAAAAATTCCCCGGAGCACACATGAAAATCCACATTCATCATTACCATTGCTAGTCCATGTAGAGAAGAGGTAATGCTAAAGTAAACCGGATGGCCAAGTATTAAGGGTCATCTGCTGCTGCTCTTACTATGGAAGCACAGCTGTCTCCTGAAGAAACCAGTGAGTTCAGCAACGACCGGGTGAAGAATGTGCTCCTAAGAGATTTCCTCTTCTAGAGAAAAACGCTTGGTTTGACAAACTGCTGGATGTGTGTCAGAATGTGACGGAAGGGGGACATTTTTAGCAACACTTTGCTGAACTAGTGTGGCACAGTCTGGTCCCCAAAAGCACAGTTGCTTTCATTCCCATAATTTACTTTCATCTGTCTTTTTCAAAACCTTCCCTAATTAAGCTTAATTGCCATGCAATCACACATTAGTGCAACATTCTGTCCACTTATGGACCACACATAAAATCCTTCATAGCATTAATCCTGGAGAGTGATAGACTGCTTGTTTTGTTTTGTTTTCTAATGTGCATAAGTGCCTATAATGCACAGTGATGGCTTTCTGGAACTGATATTTGACTCTGGTTATCATGAAAAGATTCCTAGTTTATATCAGAAAATTAGAGAGGTCAGAAGAGTGTTTGGTTTTTGGAAAAACAAGCATTTATGATGATTTGGAATCTAAGAACATTCGTGCAGTACTCAGACATGGGGATTCTCAGCTTTTAGTTAAATTTAACTCCGTAGGACAGTTATGGGTCAGATCATAACAATTTGGATACCTTTAGCCTTTGTGAGTTAGCTAGGTTCTCTGCATCACTTAAGTCTCAGTGATATAATCCCAATAAGCAGTGTTCTGACAACCTAATGAAACCCATGCAAACTATCCTTAAAGTTGGACAAAGGTCTGTAGGATACCTCTAAACAGTCTGGAGGAGCTGATCCATAACAGAGTATTTAGAAATAGTAAAAAGGAATAATAACACGGAATTGCAGGGAAGCCAACTGAAATATTTTTGTAAGCAGCTGATTATTCTTCTCTAAAACTACAGTTTATCTGACTGAAATAGCTCCCATACCTTTGAAGTAAAGAAGACCCTTGAATTTCTAGGATCCTGAAGCAAAAGCAGCAACTACCAGGTATCTCAGAAGAAAGCTGCTCCCAATACGCTTCCAGAGAGAAATGCTCAGTCAAGCTGGGTGGGCTGAAGATTCACATGACTAGAGGGACAACGAGCAAAAAAGACAAGTAGAAAGTAGTGTTAGATAATAAAATCAAAACTTTTGTAGAACCAGGCAATATCATAACTTATAGCACAGAGATATAACATGAGGGAATTTCAGCCTCACTCACTTTGGTGAGAGTCAGAGATCACACAATATGACTAAAACCTTCATTTAATATTTGCATTGACTACTCTTTTCTACGGTTTCTAGGTGCTGTGGGACAATGCCAATATTTTTGTCACTGCTAGAAATACTTTTCTTGGTCCAGAAATGACAAAGAGAAAGGGAAGAACAAAATTTAGGTCCAGGTAAATATTTCCAAATTACTGGTAAGAGATTAGGTTACATGTAGTCTTTTCCAAAGCTTTCAAACTTTGTAGGATGTATATACTGGAAAGGGAAAAATTAAAGGAGAAATACCAAGAACTCTCTAACCAGCAAGGACTTGTTGCACATGTAACTTATTAGCTAAATTTGTCCAAATTACGCAGTATTAGAACATTCTTTGAAAAAAGTAGGGCTCTTACATTATGTGTGTGATACAGAAGTAAAATAGAGAACAGGAGATACATACACTATTGCCTATGAGTCCAGAGGCAAGCTCGGACCACGATTTACCATTTTAAAGTCAGGGAAAATCTTTCTTTTCAGTCACACGTTTGTGAATTTCAGAACTGAGCAAAAAACCCCAAAAACCAACCCACTCTACTTATAGCTTACTTGATTTCAATAGAAATGCAAATATTTTTTTTTGTTTAATAAAAGCTAGAAAATTCCAAATGACACATTTTTTTTTCAACATTTCTTTCTTAAAAGCCATATACAAACCCCCTCATTGTTATCTATGTTGATACTATCTTTGTCCCTTATTTACCATCCAGCCCTAACATTCTTTCTGGGTGGGAACTTTTCAAGGCAAACACTCATGAGCAAACTGAAGTGACAAGCAAACAAGCAAAACAGAGTAAAGAAACAGAAAAGTGTGTACTTGCTCTGACAACTATGCTGCAGGGTATTGAGGGTATCATAGCTGCATTGAGTTAGTCCTACCATTTTAATTGGTCATTATAGAAAAAATATGACATACATTATCAAAGAGAACTCCCCAGTTTAGAAATGCTGAAGTAAATTGACGTGTTGCAAACCTACTGACACCACCAGCATCGTTCCAAGGGAGAAACTGGTGTTCTTTTGTTTTGTCAAGTAGGAGTCTTTCCTCCAGTTTTAAACTCTCTCTCAAATGTTAACATGTCTAGATGGCATAAATGTAGCAATCCTGGAGACTACCATGCGAGGGGGGCAGGCTTGTTTGTTATGGGGCTTCTGTACTGCAGGTCCTCAATAGCTGGAGTGCAGCTTAACCCAAGGCATATAGGCAGCAGGGTTAGGATATGTATGTTGTTGAGTATGACAATCTGGAAAGTCTTTCTGGATATTTACTCAGAGAAAGCATGGTGCCACTTCTGTGATTGTTTCTGTGCATCTTTTTACTTGCTTTTAAAAATAAGTAAAATATCCAATCTCTAAAAATACTGACTGCTCAAAAGTACATAGTTCCTTGGGGAAATGAGATTACAACATAATTGTGTCATACAAATGTTTGCCTATCATCTGTTTGCTCTTTCCCCCTAGTTTTAACTCCATTTTACAGAAGGGCAGAGGCCTCTGTGAGTGTCAAGTTCTTAAAAGTCTCATGGAAAATGGGGAGAGCCGATGGTTGCATACACAGCTTGCTGCCCCGGCCACGCGCACAGTCCTCCCTGCCAGGCACTGAAGGCATGAAGGACAGGGAAGGCTGACGGTGGAGGAGAGTTGGAAAGCAGACAGTGAGGTAGAAAGACACAAATCCGTAGGAAATGAGTCCTCTGCAGTTTGGCTGCCTGTGGGTCAGCTTGTTAACTGATTTATACAGTATTTTCCCCCTCAGTCTTGAGTTCTACTGAAAATAATTTTTTTTTGCCAGTGATGCTTTCCAGGAACAGACTGAAGTGCTCAATTCAAAACTCCTGACAGTATCATTTACACCCTAAACAAGGGGGTTCAGCAAACAAGCTTTAACTTATGTTTTCCTTTAACCTTGCCAATGCCTTTTCAGTGAACTATGAGCCAGATTCCTCATTTCACTGCTTTAACAAGTATGTAGATACTGACATCTCCAATCCCACTTTTCCAGGTCAAGATCATGTTTCATTAGAGACCAACTGAGCCTGCAGAACTCGGAGTCTATTTTCTTATAAATGCTGGTTTCACAGATCTTAGTGGGAGAGCACCTGTGCATTGGCGCCTTGGTACCTATCTGTGTATGTACATTCTTATATTTAATTTAGAGATGCAGCTACCCTGATGGTTATAATTCTCTCCTATAGAAAGCAATATTAAGTATAGAGCATGTTCCTATAGGCTCCGTTTGAATGTGGTTAATCAAATGAATTCATATTCAGTACTCCTCAGAGTAATAGAAATCCAGTGACACCAACATATCGTGATTAAAAGTGCAGGAAGCCCCATTAGGGAATCTCTGCAGCTTTCCTACTTTGTTTTGCTTAATATTTAATTCTGGTACAGGCAGAATCAAGAATAAGTCAAGGTCTAAAAAAAGTATTTATTCTAATGAAAGTGTTTTGCTTACTAACAGTATTACCACCCAGTGAATAACAAAAGAACCGTGAATTCCATTGATTTAAAGAAACCCCACAACTATTTAGGAAACCAAATATATATTTAGGATTCTAGGCAACAAACATCAGTTACCTGATGCACCCTAGGACAGAAACACACATTCTTGATTATATACAGTAATAACATTTCATAGTTTGTCTGGATGAAATATGTTAATTAAGTTTGTATTGTCAACATCCAGTCCCTCTGATCTCAGTACATACAAATCTGGGAAATCTAGTCCAGACAAAAGAAGCACCTTTCCATCTGGGAGGAAATAACAAATTCTATCATCACTCACCCAGTGAGTGCATGGGGAGATTTGAATACACCCAGTGCAGACAGCTGGCAGGAGTAAGGCTTCTGTGGAAATCATTGCCCACCCTTGCACCCTGTTTGGCAGCAGTAACTTGTTGGGAGCCCTCAGCCCACCTCTGTGCTCCACTTATGGTATCTAAGAAAGGGAAAAATTACTTATATGAATTGATAAACTATTAATTCTTCTCAAGATATCCTTAAATTTATGCTTTGCTTGTGTTGCGAATCACTGATTTAGAGTAATGATGCCTCAAGTTCAGTAAGTGACATCCTGCCCCATCTTTCCAAAACTTTAGTTGGAAAGATGATCTCAAAACTAAAGTTTGAGTTACCTGCAAAAGCCGAGAGAATTTCTGCCATTGCTTGCCCTCGAGCAGCCAGAGTTACACTCATTGAGGGTAAACTCTAGCTGATGCAGTTTCTGACAAAAATGGAAGTTTATTTGCTTTCTCTGTGTTTCATAAAAAACTGAGATCAATGAATAATTTCTATCTTCTAGTAAGAAAAAAACCTTGATATGCTGCTGTAGCTTGGGAAAATATAAACTTTGAGGACCTACTTCTGATGCTGTTTCAAAATTCCTATAATGGTTTGCCTGCTGTCTTCATTGTAATGGTTTGTACCACTGCCCAGGAAAAATATACTGCAGCAGTGTACTTATTCATGATGAAAATTCCACATGAGTAACACTCAGGAATATTAAAACCAGCCTGTATGTATATGCAGTTATAGTTAGAATTACAAATTTTAAAAACAAAACTAATAAAAACCCTGCCCCACGAATACTGTCTTGAGTCTAATAAGCACAGAAATGCCACCAGTCTAGAAATGTATAACTTTGCATATTTAAATGTATCTGTATAAATATTCTTCTGAATAATTTTATCTGCCTCAAGAATGTTAAAAAAAAAAAAAAATCAAATAGAAGTTCTTTGGCCTTTAGGTAGACTTCAACAGTTAAAAATAGCCCAGAATCCAAACAACACCACACCACCAACAAAACCAAGAATATTTATTCTTTTTGCTGAAGCCATTACCCAACTTCCCAGCAGTAATTCTGAACTCTGCTTCTTGCTGTGCTGTAAGTACGACAAAGGGCAGACAGGAGCACTGGACAATATAAACTGTAATGCTGGCTTGAGTGTAAGTGGAGAACTGAGCTCTGCAGACCCTGGCAAGCCTGAACTTGTGCAGCTTTTACCAGCAGGTCATCAGAGAGAGCTCAGCTGTGGTTGCTGCTCCCGTGGGCAGAGCCCAGGGCAGCGCTGGATGGGCACCCAGCACCCTGCAACCTGTCAGTCTAGAAGGGGGAAACAATGTGCAGTAACTGTGCTGCATGATTTCACTTAGGGGAAGTTCTGACTTACAGAAACAGCAGGCTCTGTTTTGGGAAAGGACAGACCCTCTGGACCTACAGAGCACTGTGGGAACAGTTCTGTCACTTTTATTCCCACTAAGCAGCCCTATTCCTCCAAGCAGACCCAAACACTGACATGAACTATGTATAAATAAGGTTATAAAGCTACTAATGTCCTTTAACCATAAAGAGATAATACCAACCATGAAACCTGAGGGGCCTTTTCTTGTCTCCTGCACATATGAAAGATCACATTAAAAGAGATTAGTTTAAACCACTTGCAATTTCCTTTATGCAATAAAAGATTTTCTTTGCCTGGAATTTTCCTATTTATGGCGTGTATTTGGACTCAGTATAGCATAATACTTCCCTCAGTATCCCTGCTTTTAATGATGCTCACAGCATTTGAGCCATTCATCAAACGTGACAACTGAAACAGCTAGGAGTTAATGGGAGCATGAGCAGTTTGACAAACACAGTCTATTTGACAAGACTGAGGTCAGGACTGAAAGAACTGCTCTTGGTTAAATAAACAGAAAAGCAACAAAGTAAAAGCAAAATCTCTTCAGCCATTTATCAACTTTAAAAGCCTTTTTGTTATAAGAAACATAAAATGAAGCTGCACACAGAGATGGGAATTAAGTGGGGTTGGAAGAATTCA